GTTCAGCTTTACTTGGAGCCACTATAACGGCATGGATGTGGGGCCTATATCAGCCCGGTTCCCTCCGACACGTTGGCCCCCATAGCTACCCCACTCTTCAACATCGAAGTACAGGAGGCTGGTTCGGTTTCGGTTGAATTGACCAAAGTATGTGCCACTGCAGTTAATGCCATTTCTCACTCATATAATTGAAATCACTTGGTTATAATAAATGCATGTTATAACATAGGTGTTTGCTATCGTCTTTGGCAAATTAGCTAAGACTTATATCAGTTCTTCTTCTATCAGCTTCTCAGAGTATAAAAACGTATGTTCAAATCAGCATTGGGTATGTTTTGGCAGTTCGCATGCCCAGCGTATCAAGCTTGCAAGATTCCATTTGTTTGCGCCGTTGTATAACAGAACGACGTTTGGGGGCTATAAGGAGCCAACACACTCTACGACAGACCCAAAAAGCTACGTCAAAATTTCTCATTGCCTTTGATATCGTACCAAATAATCGAACAAAACGGTGTTCAGCTTGACCCTTTAACCTTCTTAAAGAAGCGCATTACATTACGAGTTCAGTGCTATTTGTTTTCTACCGACAACTTTTATTTGAATGAATGAGCAAATCGAGAAGTGGGCAAAGTTTGGTGAACTTAAATGATCGTTCGAACGGATCATTTCGACATTCGATATGAAGTAATATCAAAGCAAGTATATAAACAGTGGCTGATTGCACCACAAACTTAAACATAGTATATGTGTATAGAACATTGGTATGGCAGCCACTGTACGAGGCATGATATTGTTCTGGCGAATTTGATATCAATCATTTTAACATGACAGTTGTTTGATTGGTCCCGAAGATCATCCTATTGGAGACATGCGTCTCACAATACACAGACGTTGTATTCGCTGGGTGCACATTTGGGTTTTAGCCCAGTGGCTCTTAAAGCAACGTGACACGAAATTGAACCTTTTGAGAAGACAAGATCATTATCAATAGCTATCTCTAATTTTGCAACACTACGATTCAATCAGTCTAGAGCCAACAGCAGTCAAGCTCACACGCTATTAACAACGAATAATATGAGCGTTCAAGGCGCGCAAAGAAAGATTTATTGCACGATCGATCATATTTGTCGCTTGTTTTTTAAGTAACTATTGCTCCCGATGCTATCTAGTAGCCGTACGTGGTCATATCTAATTCAGGCTGATTTATATCCAAAGGCATGAGATTCTGTGATATGGATTGGTGTCCTCGTACGAGAATAGCGAGCACGTAACTATATATGGCCACATTGAAATGCGACTAAGCAATGTGACGGGGCTTTTCCGCCAGCCAGTAGCCGATAGCCAATTGATCAACGGTCGCTAGGACCGGGTTAATAAAACTAGGCTATACTTTACGATGATATCATAGAAAAAGGATTACCGAATCGAAAACAATGTCGATAATTTGACTATGCGCATTGCATATAGCTAAATAGCCAAACGTTAGTTACTTCATTTCGACTCCGATCTCGCCGGATTCGGTTATGCCCCACACAATTTTTCTAGTCTTCAAAACAATTTCTGGATTTGAAAGTCGGACCATAGTTCAGTTCTGCATTCGTTTCGTCTTGAATTTGGCCAATTATTTCAAAACTTTTGTTTCTCTTCAACGTTTCGAGTCGAGATCTATATTGGAGATCAGTATTATTTCGCAATCTTCTGCGGATTAATACTTCTTCGAAACAGTAGAACAACTTGACATGATTTTACAAGACACAATTTTCCATTAGTTGAAAAACCATAGTGAACAGAAGCTTAATTTTTTGTACTGGTCTCTTGGCTTCTTTGATACGATTGTTACACGCTTGTTATCGGCACTAGCACAATGATTAGTTTTGCTTAAAAATTTATCTCGTTGTTGTAATTATTCTAGTCACATCGAAAGCCACTGAGTACTAAGCTACTGAATGTTATCACTTTAAAAGTTCTCGAAAATAGATAGCAACTTATTTTAGCTGAATCGTATCAAGCATAATCTATAGATACCAATAGTATTTTTCAATCAATATTCTCAAATCATTTACGGAGTCTTTTGCGGTATTCGAAATATACCAGTGACACGCTCCCTAATGCTTTTCTAACGAGCTAGTTTGTTGATTACGGTATGATAACTTCGTTGGCAGGTCCCACCTAACCTTCTCTTCTCGAGAGCTTGGGCTTTAGTTAGCCTGCAATAGGGGTGGTACGTAGTGCAGTTATTGTACATAATATTAGCCAATAAAGCAGTCTAGTTTTCTAATCAATTTATTGGAAAAAAAATAAAAACAAAGCCTTCTTTGGTTTAAGTTACAGGTTATAGGAGATTCGAGTTCGGAATCTGATCTTTGATTCTTGATCGGGATTCCGGGAATCGGGAAATTTATAAGTTTATCAGTTATAGTGTTATTTCTCGATAATAAGAAAAAGAAACACAAAAATACTGCTATACAAGTTTTACTTAGTTTTCAGGGTTATGATGAGCACAAACCTAAACTGGACTTTTGCGTTTAGTCTGGGCTGAAACTTCAGTTTTTAAAAGTGTTCTCTGGCGCGTAAACCAGATTACTCCTAGGTAGGTGATACGTCATTTCAGCAGCTGAGGTGAGCACGGGCCATTGTAAGCTATTACGGTGCAAACTCAACAAACAGGACCTAGAAGTGCTAGAAATGTATCTCTTTAGCAGCCTGCGCTTTATGGACTGACGCTTTAAACGTGAAGATGCTGAAGGTATCATTTCGAAAACAATATCACGGAAACAACTAAACTGTTCGCGACAAGTGGTAAGAACTTACCTTAGTAGAGATAGAACAGTTAAACTTTATTGAAACGTGCTCTTAAAGCAAATATAAGTTTAACAATTCGTTGAAATTTCCCAGAATATCCATCCACTTTAGACCAAACAAATTCTGAAAACATAAATTTACTTGTCAGTTCTATTAGCACAATTAGAAATCCTTCTTCGAATACTAGTAAGCTTTTGCAGTTTCTGTTAAAAGGATATTAAAGATGCTCACAAACTAGTCTGCAAACCTGAATTTTCGTTTTTCCAAGTGCTAATCCCATGTGTCCATTACACGTGGAATTTAGGATATAGTACCCACCCATTTCCCGCCAGTTTTCGTTAATTAAGAAATGGCCCATTTATCATTTACCTAAATATACGCGTACATATAATTATATATTATTATTATTTATATTATGTTAAATTATATATAGATAGTGCATCATTTCAATTGCAATTATTGAGGATTACTGCTAGTACTAAGAAAGAAACTGTTTGAAAATTCCCGAGCCTTTGCTGTCTCTGCGAGACACTGCCGTGTCCGATTCTCATATTTCGTATTTGCGTGCCTATCGATGATGGAAAAATCGTTCGATTTTTATGACGACTAGCAGAAAGAATGAGCAAGAGACGAAAAATGTTTGGTTTCATGCCCTCCTTTCTCTCCTTTTGATTACCCTCTGATTCAGTACCCTTTTAAATAAATTTATTTTTGTTAACTTTGACAACGCGCAACTTTCCCTACTACACCATCTTGCCATGGAAGTACGTTTGCTAGTCTTTTTTTGACTGTTGATTGAGCCGTCGCGCCTAATTCTCTATTTTTTTTGTCGTCTAGTTCTTTCTGAGCTCTCTTTGTTTCGCATGGATGCTGTGTCGTGTGTGCTATCATCGCCCGTTGATCATAGTTGTCGACAACGGATCTCGATGTCCGCTCGGAGGGGTCGCTGATTATAGCGGGCTACAGCCTCGGCCCACAGAGTACTCACAATAACTCCCATGCTGTGGTGTTGCTACCCCGCGCTCGCTCGTAGCAGTCGTCGTTAAGTCGAACGGCTGGTGGTAGGGCGCTGACCCATAGCTCATTCGCCTGCTGACCCGTCAGAATCTAGTGGCCACCGCGAAGAGGAAGAGGAAGGGGACCAGTTAACGAATGCAACGAGTTAAATCAGCAAGCAGCAGCCCTACGCCTTGCCCATATCGATAGAAGGCTGCTGCTGCTGCTGCTGTTGGATTTCACCAACACCGAACACACATTTAGCAAGCCTGCCCGTCTGCTCATTCGCTGATACATGATCTTTGGTTAACGCCTCAGTAATAGTATATCGCTCCGCCGCTAACGGAGCTGACGGTGCTGCTGTCGTTACCGCGATTGCTGCTGTTAGACGGTACGATACGATGGGTTGTTTTCTGTGCTGTGGCTCACTGCCGCTACCCGTTCTCCGACAATCCAATACGAATCGGTGTACGGGCTGTGCTTCGTCGTCGTTATCGTCGTTTTCGTAGCCAGCCGCCGCCGCCGCCGCCGCTGCCGCTGCTACTGTCGTCTGTGCTGGCGGTTGTCTGCATAGCGCCGTGGGTTGGTAGGCTAGTTGGCTGTACACGGCCGCTAGCTCGGCTCGTCTGACGGAATCCATGGCCGAGGAGAACATTGCAAGTTGTGTTATATCTGTGTCTGAGATGCTGGTTCTGTTTCTAGCAATGGTAATCGTAGGAGTGTGTGGCAATGCTGATCGCCGTGCCGTGCTGTGCTGCTAGACAAGCTGCTGGTACTCCTGTGTGAGTGAACGAGGAGCCAGCCAGCAGCAACGACGTTGGACCGCCGCCGCCGCCGACGACGACGACCACAGCAAGTGAGTGTGTGAGTGTGTGCGTGTGTGTCTGTCTGTGTATGTGTGTGTGTGTGCGTGAGGTTCGGCTGGCTGTGCTGTTACCAGTAGGGAACGGAACAGAGTGGCCGAACGAAGCAGCAAATAAGCAGTCAAACAGGCGATTCCGATGACGACTTGGCTGGGGTTTGTACCCTGAGTGAGTGAGCTTGTGATCGTGGAGTTCGGTAGTGTTTCTAGTTCGGCGTTGTGCTTATGATGTGATGAATCGTGTCGAAAAGGATTCTCGCCGTCCAACTCGCCACTGCTCAATGCTGCTGCAATTTCGATCCACTAACAACAGCGGCCACCGTGTATTAGTGAGTTGCGAATGGTAGCTGGCCAGACCAAGCGAGCACTACAGGAACGGGCAAAAGGAAGACGTCTAACAGTGAGCTACGGCCAACCAGCCAGCCAGGCTGGGCTCAACAACGATGTGAGCGCATCGACGAGTAGAGCGAACCGACTTCCATCCGATTGCAAGAATGTGTTTATGTCTATGATGACCGACGACAGCAGTGGCAGCGATCAGTAAAAAATCCAGGATCGTTCCTATTAGTAAAGCCTGCACTAGTACGATTACTGCTGTTATTTATATTATCATCGTCCGATCAGACAATTTGCCAAATGTGAGTAACTGTGCCTGTGTAGACGTGAGAGTCGCTCACTTAACGGTGGACAACAACAATAACAATACGGTGGTATATAGATCGAATCGTTTACTGAACGCTGTGTTATGTTGTTGCTGCTGCTGCTGCTGCTGCTGTGCCCCCCAAATCAACGAGCAGCATTCACAGAACGGCGGCAACCAGGCAAAGCTGACTGACCATCGACACGGAGCGGGCACCGAGCGAACAAACAACAACAACCGAATTCAGAACCCCCGACGACAAGCACAGAGATGCACGTCCTACTATTAAAGGATCTACCTAGAATAGCTGATGTATATATGCATGTCGCTCTGCTCGTCTGATATCAAACAACTGCTTTTTCTTGGATAATAATTGTAATAATAACGATAGCAACAGTACGACGTCAATTGCCGTTCAAGTGCTCATTTTTTGCCCTGACCCATGTAGTGTGGGAGTACTGCATACACACCGGTCTATTAGAGGACCGAGGGAGACCGAAAAAGGGGAATACTCGACTGGAGTCTCCAGTGTCCTTTTGTGTGTGGGTGGCAGCAAGCTTCGTACCCGAGTTAATCCTGAAAGGTCGATTCTGTTGTTGTTGTTGTTGTTGTTGTTGTTGTTGTCGTCGTCGTCGTCGTCGTCGTCGTCGTCGTCGTCGTCGTCGTCATCGTCGTCGTCGTCGTCGTCGTCGTCGCCGTCGTCGTTGTCGTCGTCGTCGCCGTCGTCGTCGTTGTCGTCGTCGTCGTCGTCGTCGTCGTTGTCGTCGTCGCTGCTGATACCAGAAGCGGCAGCAGCCTTTTTCTAGTTCGTGATTTTGTTGTCGGTATAATGACAATCGTTAGGTGATGGTTGACAAACCAAGAAGCGCTACGAGTAGCAGTCCCTGCAACCGCCGTCGGCATTATTCCCGTCACTGTCGCTTGTGACGAGTCGGTCGACAGTGTGCTAGCCAAATAATGGCACAGATCGACAAGTAACAATTGTAGCAGGCCCTCGAAAACCACTGAAAACAACGTGGTAGTAATAGAGGCATTCATAGATCTATAGCAACGACTACAAGTGCGGCTCGTCGAAGATTCGCTAGAACAAAAACCACCAGAACAGCAGCAGCAACAACAAGAACGACAAAATGTACAATGACTAGAAGCACTGCTGCTAGTACTATGATTCTATGTTATATTTAAGAATATTAAATACGGCTCGTACTGTATCTGTACATTGAGTGAGTGCGTGTGAGCTCACTGAGCGGGTCTGTAAAACATCTGTGAGCTTGCGTATCGGTCTGTCAGTGCGAGTGTGCGTAATGATTACTGTGTTGCTGATATCAACCACAACCACCCATGCAAGCAATGACTGAGTGATAGATAAGTGCAGCTGCTGCCCGACCAGCGCAGGACCACGCAAACGGGCAGTGATTACTCTTCCGGCGGCCGTCGCCGTCGCTACCGCCACAGCCGCCGCCGATGCTAGGCTGATATAGCAGCAGCAGCAGCAAACGAGAACAACAACTAGCAACGATCGTAGCAAATTGCAACGGCATATGACACGCTTATAGCGTGCTTGTTATCAATTATCCGTTTGTGTTTAACAATAACATTAATAATATTGTATTAAGTTCGATACGGTCTGCACAGTCGGAGATTTGTTCTTTCCCTATCCGCTCCTATGGGTAGCGCTAATCATTCGGATCTCGTCGCGGATCTGCTGTCGATGTTTGCAGTCTACGTTGACTCAGAGGCATTGTCGGCTCGCTTATATCATAGTCAACATTACCGGACGACAGTTGACGCGGCCTAACGCCGTTCATTGCGAGATTCTATTGACCCCATCTCGGAAAGTGTCATTTGTACTACTACAGCAAGTCAATATCGACGTCATTAAGAAGGTGGCCGAAAGGGCTGCCACCGCAGCTAGCGGAAAGTGTAACATACCTTACTGAATTGGACCGCGCCCGAAAACACTTCTCGAGGCTCTATGAATGTACAGGGCGCCATTGCCAAGCCTTATCGAACAAGTTTTAACTGACCAGCAATACATGCCTACATATCTGTGTACCTGTGCTTTTGATTCGCGTGTAGATTCCTCAGTCTGGTGTTGTCTGAAGAGTATTTTAGTAAGTGTGCATGTGTCCCATTGCAGAGAGTGGCAGTTTCTGTTTCTCGTTACTACTACGATTTCCAGCTTTCGACATCTTTTCGTTGGACCACAAAAAAGGAGTCTAGAAGCGGCGTCTCCTTGTGCACGCATCATAAGTGACAGGTGCATAGAGCGTTGTAGTACTGCTGTTACTGCCATCGGCAACAACAACAATAACAGCAGCAGCAGCAGCAGCAGCAGCAGCAGCAGCAGCAGCAGCACTACTACTGTCAATACGATTCGCAGCCCGTTCTTTGGCCAACTAACTGTCTGGTAGCATCCCCCGATACAACGTGCTCTCGGCACCTTTATTACCACGAAATATCGTCGTCGTCGCCGCCGCTGTTCCCATCATCGCGGCCGCTTCCGACTACGGTAGCGTTCACGTTCAGCGACATCGTCGTCGGGCTGGGCCGGGCCACTCGTTCAGCGGTACACGGACAACGGACTCGTGGCAAGAAGAAGCCGCCGACGACGACGACGACGACGAAGAAGAAGAAGAAGAAGGAGAAGAAGCTGCTGCTGCTGTCTTGTTTGAATTCTTCGGCTTTTTTCTCGTTCCTCGCTGCTACTGCTACTGCTGGCGCTGCTTCAGCATTGACCGTCCCGAAAGCACTTCAACTGTTCCGCTCTGTTCCAGCAGTGAGCGTGCAGCTTCAGACACCCGGCTACTTTACGGTCAGAGCGGCCGTCACCCCCACGGTGATAATCGGCTAGTGCCCAGTGCCATTGCCATTGCTGGCTTCACTACTTCCACTTGGCAGCTTCAGCTGCCGGCAACGGCGGCGACGGTGCGGAACAGCGAGAGAACGAAGCAGAAAGATCAGCTTCTCTGCGAGATCAGCGGCAAGCGACAGCTTCTTCTCGGAAGCAGCACCGCGACAGCAGCCAGCAGAAAGAAACTCTGGGAAACATCGGATAAACCGACGGACGGACGGACGGACGGATAGAAGGCAGGCGACTGCCGACAATCCGCCGCTGCTGCTGCCGTTGTCGTCGTCAACCAACGGCCGTCGACAGAACGACGGGCAACGGCGCCGCCAAATCAACCACCAGCAACAACTACTACAGACAGTTCATACTCACCCTGGTGCTGCTCCCGCGAAACATTAACTTAAAGCAGCGACTGCTGCGGAACTGATGCGATACAGCCAGGCGTCGGGTCAGATAGCGCATGCGACAGTGCCAAAACGTCGGCAACAGCAGCAACAACAACAACAACAACAGCAGCAGCAACAACAGCAGCAGCAAAAAGTAGCCCTGTTAGACAACAGGGGTAACGCGACGCAAGAGTAAAGGGGGCTCGCGTTACAGCAGTAAAGCTCAAGTAAATGTCAGGAGGGACACAGAAAGGGAAAAGAAGGAAGAAATAACGAAACGAGTAAATAATAATCAATTCATATGAATAGATCACCACTAATACCAAGTCTACTGATTGATGCAGTCTGTAGGCGTGTGCGCGTAGTTTTTGTTGGCGCTTTTTAATTTCTGGGCAACGAATGAATACTACAGTCTGACAAATTTTACGCTATCTGTACTGAACAAATAAAAATTGAAACCGACAAGAAGACGAACCCCAGTGCCTATTACGTAATATATATATATATATATATATATATATATATACACATATATATATATATATATACGTATATATTTTACATAACGCCACGTGAGTGGCACGTGCATATATGACGGGGTTAATGTGTGTTTAGCTTGTTGCTGGGTCTCCAAAGAAATAAGCATTTAGTTAGAAGGAAGAGATTGAGCATGCGGAAACGGTGAAAAGATAAATGTGGAATTGGAATATATGTTTATAAAAATGGTCATCTATCGCCGGCCAATCAGGATAACGCGCTCCATGTACTACGGCCAATGAGGACAGCGACGACGACAATATCATTGTTGCAGGCGCCCGTACCACTGTTACAATTACTGCTGGTCTAGCGATTGTGTATGCAGCGTGTGTTTTGTTGTGTGCGTGTTCTGGCTCAACTTAGCCGAAGTTAGTGTCGGAAATCGTCAGTCATTTCATAAGGCCGAAGTTGTCAGAAATAATAGCCACCATTGAGATTACCTGCATGTGACAGTGCGCTCAATTATTCGTCGTCAATATTCGTTGTTCTGCTATTTCTCTCTCTTTCCCAGTCCGTTACATATAGGACGCGCGAACGTGCTTCGGCACACAGCCTGGAAGCTCGACGTCATCTCAACGAAACGGTCGCCATCTGTTCCGTTTGTTGGTGCCGTTACCGGCGTTGCTATCCTGTTGTCAAACAGCGAAAGCGAAGGGGTCAACTCGCGCGATGAGGCGTAGGTCGAGTGGCCGACCGGCTCGTGAGCCGTTTCAGCAGCCGACGGCCAAGCTCGTCTAGTCAGCTGACGACGAACTCAGCTCTTTGAATCTCGCCTTAGCTCCATGGAGTCCGCGCAGCCGAACAGTCAAAGCAGCAGCCACGGTCATAGACAGCAACAACAACAACAGCATCAGCAATCTGCACAGCTGCAGCAGCATAGTGCTGGCGCCTTGGACGGTGGTGGCGGTGGCATCAGTGACTCGAAGGCTTTCGGGGGTAGTGGTTACGTCCGTGATCGAGATCGAGACCGGGATAGGGATCAATGCGGCCTTGGCAGCACCAACCATCCTGGTGGTCATCGCGGTTCGTCTCCCGTGGGCAGCGCGGGATCGGGCGGGAGTGGTGGTGGATGCAACACTGGAGGTGGATCAAGCAGTCACTCGCTATCGTCCTCGGCCAGTGGCAAAAAAAACAAACACTTCCACACCAACAGCAATCACAATACAAACCCCTCGAACAGCAGCAGCAGCAGCAACAACAACAACACCAATGCCACGTCATCGTCAGGAGCTCCTGGAGGAGGAAAGCGCAAGGATCGCCGGAATGTTGCTTCAGCTTCTGCCGCGTCCACAAGTGCAGCGAGCTCAGATAGCCACGGCAGGGAGGGCAGAGGTAGCGGTTCGTCGTCGGGCGTGTCATTTGAAAATCAGATTTCAGCAGTGGGTCATATGCAGCAACAGGAAGCGACGACGAATTGTAGCAGCAACAACAACAACAACAACAACCACAACTTAACAATGATGGACTGCAGTAGTAATAACAACAACCTTAATAGTAATAACAATAATAATAATAATAATAACAATGCGAGCTTGGCGGTCAGCCGTAAAGAAGGTAATCTGCTGTCAACAGGGTGCATAAAGACGGAACCGGGCGTAAGAACGCCGCATGGAAGTGACGTACTAGATGACGCGTCGACAGATGATCGTTTGACTGGCGGCGAGTTAAAAGAGTGCTCGCTGGTTGACGAAGATATTATTGATGGATTTGCTATATTGTCATTTCTCACCTATGAAGACTGCCAGGTATGTAAAAACTAGCATGACAACAAAAAAAAACCAAGACATTTCAGATGAGTAATTGTAGCTTACATAGGGTACATGTAACCATGAGCGAGCTTATGCCGAAAACCTCAAAGAACTCCCGCGGTGAAGATTAATATACCGCGTAATATGTATCTGTTGCCACTTTAGTATGATGTATATTCTAGCGGCAATATTGGCATAGCGAATTCAAGATATAGTTTTATCGGCGAAATTTGGGTCAAATAAATATATATGGCCGCTTTGAAAAGCGTAACAACTTTTTGTTTCCACATTCGATCAGAGAGGTTGGTGCATCGACGGTACTGTGAAGCACAATTAGACTCTTCTTGGTTCTCTTGTTTGCCAAGCATTTAGATCGCTTGCGCGTTTTTGCCCCTACTGGGTTAGAAGTTACCACAAAATGGGGCAGCAGAATGTTGACGGGACCGCGGTAATAGATGTAGGTGCACTTTCGTCATTATTTTTCAGCTCTGGATCTGTTATTTGTGTTCATCGTTACTTCATCATTTTCTAGATGCTTATATATTAATTGTTTGTGCCAAAAATGTACAGATTGATTATAATTATTACTTTTGTTATTCTTACTATTAATATCATTATTATCGTTATCGTAGAGGCTTATCGCTGGCCGATGGAATCATCGAGGAGAGTGTTTTGTGCATTGGATGGGACGCACCTGGGCCACCAGCAGGTATTAGTGGAGGGGGAGGCACCCCTGGATGGGTGGGTACACCACCGGCCATAGCCAATCCCATCGCCGACATCGGCCCGCCAGGAATTGAAGGTCCTACTGAACCGCCTTTGCCGCGTAAGCTTGTTAAGCCAGCCGATGGTGGCCCGCCATGGCCCAGAGGGCCTAAGCTAGACAGATAGGGGTGTCCTGGTGGTGGGGCATGTCCGGCGGGACTTGGGCCACCAAGAAAGCCTGGAGGAGCTCCAGGTAAGCCTGCCGCTGCTTGCGCCCCCAGCAATTTGTTTCGTTCAATGTGCTCGCTAAAATTACGTTCGTATGAAAGCTGTTTCTCGAGCTCTTCATTGCTAGCAGGACCTAGGCGCATGCGGTCCGCCGGAGATAAGCCCGTAGTGCCTCCAGGAGGGACCATGGCAAACATAGCTCGATATCGTTCGCTTAGCATTGCGTCCGAGGCTATCATGCGCTGATACTCGGCTGGTGGCAAAGCAGAAGGATGCGCATGACCATGAGGCCACATCAAACCTGGCGTCGGTAATCCAGCCAACCCTGGTGGTGGTGCTGGCAAACCGTAAGGACCAACTCCTGAGGCGTGTCCTGTAGCTGCTTTATGTAGGCTTGCGGCGAAATCCTCGGGCGCACCTTTGCTTGCGCTAGACTTAAGGTCTGCGGCTGCTACCATGCCAGGCAGCTCTTCCTTGATATTCCGAGAACTGTCCCGATCACGTTCTCTAGAAGGTGCTTTTTCTGGATAGAGCGATGACTGTGCCGCGACTCCAGGCGGTGCAACGCTGGGCGCTCCGTTCTTGAGAGGTGTTCGATTTTGCATCGATCGGCCTGTGACGTCGCCGTTCCGTAGAATCCCATCCATTGAGTGTAACGTCTGAAGGTGTTGTTGCTGTTGCTGCTGCTGTTGCTGCTGCTGCTGTTGTTGGTGGTGGTGGTGGTGATGATGATGATGATGGTGTTGTTGCTGTTGTTGTTGTTGTTGTTGTTGCTGCTGCTGCTGCTGCTGCAACTGCTGCAGAAGTCGTTGTTCGCGTTCCCTCTGCTTAAGGCTTTCCTCGTGAACCTTTTTATGACTGTAACAACAAAATAATTTTACTAAAAATATCGCCTGTTTTGCTCATAACTGATCATTTCGTGACTTGGTGAGTATTAGAAGAATTAACACGCCGCGTAAACATGCCGCGTGTGTGCCAACTATCTTGAAGTTTGTTCTTTTCTTTGTCAACTTTCGAGATTGGCTTGACGGACACTGCTTTAGCAATAATAGGAATGGCTGCAAAATAAATTAGTCAGCAAGATTGTTTACTTTTGCGGTAGCAGAACAGCTTCTATTATTTAATCGGCTGCAAAATGAATTAGTCAGCAAGATTGTTTACTTTTGCGGTAGCAGAACAGCTTCTATTATTTAATCGGCTGCAAAATAATTAGTCAGCAAGATTGTTTACTTTTGCGGTAGCAGAACAGCTTCTATTATTTAATCGGCTGCAAAATGAATTAGTCAGCAAGATTGTTTACTTTTGCGGTAGCAGAACAGCTTCTATTATTTAATCGGCTGCAAAATGAATTAGTCAGCAAGATTGTTTACTTTTGCGGTAGCAGAACAGCTTCTATTATTTAATCGGCTGCAAAATAAATTAGTCAGCAAGATTGTTTACTTTTGCGGTAGCAGAACAGCTTCTATTATTTAATCGGCTGCAAA